AACTAAGGAATCAAATAAGTATAAAGAATTTCACTTAATCAGAATTTAATATGATTATATTAAAAGCATTGCTTTGATTACGATTTTTTTAAATTAAAACTCATTCCTTTATATTAGACATAAGTTACTAATTATAATTGTGCTATAAATTGTTGCATAAATGAATAATTAAAGCACTAAAAGTGTGCAATTACAAATAAGTAGATTTTAGTACCTTTAGCTTTCGATAAATTATTTTGATACTATACTTTTGATCGACCCCTAGCAAAAATAACTGTAACGCTATCCGATATGATTCTTTTTTTTCGAGTTTTCTTATCTAGATCAATGGTGTGCGAATGGGGTTACCTTAAAAAGGATGTGATATTACATTCCTCACCCGTCGTCTTACTATTGTATATGCTAAAGGTATTGTAGAGGTACTATATTACGCTTGACCATACCCCGTTCATTTAGAACTCAACCCCTACGAGATGCCTAAAAACATTATATATTTTACAGGTACTTTTATTTAGCATATTAAACTCAGAACGGTTTGGAAAACTGTTTTAACAAAAATAAAGTTTTTAGTTTTAATGTGTTTTTATTTATTTATTCTTTTCAAAAAGCATAGTTACAAAAAAAAAAAATGAATATAATTAAAAACTCTTTTTTTACTTTTAACTTTTCTTAAGCCAATTTTTTTTATTATTAAATTTGATGTTAACGTTTATATGACAGTAGTGACTATTTGTAGTTAATAAAAACTGTTGTATTTAATAGAAAGGTTTCGAAAAGTAGTGAACTACAACAACACTACTTTTTATTATCCTAAAAAGAATAAACGTGAGTAAGCAAATTCCGAACTGGACAGTGTTGAACTTTTATGAACCGATATATGTTTTTCGGTTCCGTTCTGGTTTACGATCATCCAAAAATATTTATAGTTTCAATTTTTTATTAAGTTCCATTTGAAGCCCTGCGATCAACACAATCTATGAAAAAGTTAGTTTAATAGTTTTTTAACAGACTACACTGTTACTTAGCTAGTATACCAAAGTATGACTCACAACTTTGCTGTAAGACTCACTACCCAAAATTGTAAGTAAAATTCATAAATTTCAATGCAATTCGTAATAAATATAATTTTGAAATAAAAATATATTATAAAATCTTTAAGGAACTCTTCTCAACTTGGAAGAATGCATTCAAATCATGAGTTATTTCAACTGTTATACAATATACATAAAATTAGTACCTTTTAAAAATGCATATAATCAAAAACAAAATATATTAGAACTATGATTTATTTTAACTATTATAAATAATATATTTAAAATTAAGACTATTGAGATATAGTTATTTCGTAAAAATGTATTAAGATTATGAGCTAATTATGAGTTTATAAAAATTCATTTAATCAAAAAAAATAATTTAAAGCCTGTGGTTTTTTCAACTGTTATACAATATATATAAAATTAATACTTTTTAGAAATACATTTAATCAAGGAAAATGTATTAAAAGTTTTAATTTAAAACGATGAGTTCTTTCAACTGTTATATGTAATATGTATATAATTGTGATAAGTGTGTTAAATTAATGAGTTATTTCAACTATTATACAATATATATAAATTGGTATTTTTTAAAAATACATTTTTTCGGAAAAATGTATTGAAACTATGAGTTATTTCAACTGTTACATATAATATACTTCATATTGAGATTATTTGAATATATTTATTTTTTTATAATGTATTAAAATGATGAGTTATTTCAACTAATATAGAATATACATAAAATTAGTACTTTTTAATTATACGTTTTATCAGGAAAAATGTGTTAAAAGGATAAATTATTTCAACTGTTATATATAATATACTTCATATTGAGATTATTTGAATATATTTATTTTTTTATAATGTATTAGAACGATGAGTTATTTCAACTATTATAGAATATATACAAAATTAGTACTTTTTAATTATATGTTTTATCAGGAAAAATGTGTTAAAAGGATAAGTTGTTTCAACTGTTATATATTAACAGTTAATTAAATTTTTCAATTATTTCAATTGTTATACAATATATTTTAAATAAAGACTGTTTAAATATATTTGAATAGAAAAAATCTTTTAAAACTGCGAGTTATCTTAAGTATTATTTAATATATTTAAGATTATATATATTTCTACTCTTAAATACTCCAATGTCTTTTCTCTTTGTGAATGGTTATACGCATTGTACCTATTAGTTTCAACACCTCTAAGAGATACAATATTTTGTCTTCCCAGTAATAAGCACAACATGAAAAGTGTATTTACATTAAAATAGCCCCTCATGCATTCGAGCAGTGTGTCAACAACAAACCTAGTGCAAATTCCAAAAAAGTTCTAATGAAGCAGGTTCGCAAATATATCAATTTTAGTGGAAAGCATACCATTTCACCGGAGCGGTATACGATTATACTATGTACTTTTATATGTGTACAATATTTTTCGTCATTTATAACATTCCGCTTT